TCCTCAGAGTTACAATGTGATTGTGCCTTCCTGCCTGGCAGAATGGTGTTGGACTGGATGGTATCTTGCGGTATCTTCCAATTCCATGATTCTATGACAAGCATTGCCTTGCATCCCACTACCAAGCTATTGCATAGGTTGCTGAAATTCTGCTCCCTTCTCTTTCTTTCCAGCTCGACTGCATGCAAGAGATTAATTAGTCCATCATCCAGCTGGTACATCTTGTTCCAAGCAGCCTCATGTGGTTTTTGTTAAATGGATAATAGTAATAAAGACAACTGTAAAGCTTAATTTTATCCCAAGGAATGTTTTGTTTTGTTTAAATGGTTTTGTTTCTTCCACTGCAGGAGGGGGGAGAGAGACATGTACACCAATTCCTATCTGTAACACTTAATTTTAGGTAAAGGAGATGCTGACAACTTTATTTCCATCTTGGACTCTCTGCCATCACTCTATGGCTAAACAGCTAAAAGCTGTTTGTTTGTCTGTTTAGATTTTTCAACCACTCCAGATTTTTTTCTGTGCAAAAATAACTATCCATTTGTCAAGATCCGAAGTTAACTTCTGGCTACTTCCATTTTGAGTGTTAAAGATGATGGTGGCATTTGTGACAGCCTATGTAGCAAAAAATGATCCCTCAGGTCTGCTAAAGTTGCCCACACCTCCTCTATATCAAATTGTTGTTATAAGTCTTTGAGTCAACTTGGATTTATGGTGATGGTATTATACGGTTTTCTAGGACACTCTACATCACTGTCTACATTTTGTAACTTTATGTATCTGTAGCTATACAACAAAACCCTGTTAGTGAATTGCAAAGATGCACATCTGGGCACCAGTAAGAATGTCCCAATGCACATCAGTGCTTCTGATGTTCATTGGGTACTCCTGATGAGCATCAAGCACTTGTGATGTGAAGAGGACAGGTCTAATGTGCATTGGGCACATCTCATGTTCATTGGGTACTTCTCATGTTTGCTGAACACTTATGATGGGCATTGAGCACTGGCAAAGTGCATTGGACAATTCTGATGTGCACTGGATATTTCTAATGTGCATCTGGCACTCCTGTTGTGCTCTGATTCTTCCCAGTCAGTGTCTGAATGTACATCAGAAGTGTCCCAATGGGCACATTGATGCACACTGGAGTTATAGTGCCTCAATCACTCCACTAGCTACCATTGTGCAATGGATGTCCATACATTGTAACATCACAGCAGTCCCTAGGTGAATACAGATGTTGCAAAGCTACCCAAGTTTTCTGTTTTCACACATGTAATTCCAGTTATGAAGATGTAAGTCCCATTTGGAATTCCAGTCCAGATGTATTCAGAAGAGGTGTTTCATTGTCTTCCTTTAAGGATGAAGGAGTGTAGCTTACCTTAGGAAGAAGCCACACATTTACAAGTCTATAGGGACACATGGAAGAAATTATGTATGTATGTATGTATGTATTATATTAGCATATATGTCAGTGTGGTGTAGTGGTCTGAGTATTGGACTACAACTCTGGAAACTAGGGTTTGAATCCTGGCTTGGCCATGTAAACTTACCGGGTTATCTTGGGCAAGTCACATACTCTCAACCTCAAGAGAACTTCTCAAGAGAGTCTTGACACTCTCTTGGTCAGGATGACTACCAAGTCTGGGAATGATCACTGGAGAGGTCTGCTGATGCTAAAGGCAAAGAGGTGGGAAACTCTCATGACTTGAAGGCATACAACAACAATGTATTATTTAATTTATATCCTGACTTTTTCATAACATGGCACTCAAAGTGGCTTATGATAATTTGAAATATGAGCAGCTAAAAACCTATGCAGTTTTTTAAATATATATATATATATATATATATATATATATATATATATATACAGCCAAGCACACTTTGGTCAAATGTGTACATTAGATAGAATGCACCAATAAAATTACATTAGGAGAAATACATAAAAACTGAAGGCATATAACAATACAACAGCATTCCCAGAATGATGTGCAGGTATAGTTCTTAGGAGAGGATCACTATAAGTTGGATAAGTTGGAATCAACGTGAAGGCATAAAACAAAACAACTCAATAGCATTCCCAGAATGATGTGTAGGCATAATTCTATTCCCTCTCCATCAATCTGGATGCCTTGGTTTTGCTTGCTTGCAGTCCTGTGGAGTGACACCAATGTAACATTAGGCTACTTCCATCTTTCAACCAGATTTCATCTTGTGTGACTTATATCTACCTACCTCTGCTTAGAAACCTGTGCTTTTGAATGCCACACATGAATGCACAACTGATTCAGTGCAGAAAAAATATACTGTGCCAGCCCAAGACCCTATAGTGCTCCCTAGCAAACATATTCAAAAAATCTCCCTGCGTACTTCCATCACCAGTTCCCAGCTTCACCTACACCCCTATATTCTACTGCCAGAAGAGTTCTCCTTGAGACCATGTGCAGCAATGGATCCACTAGCAAGAAAACCATGGATGGACTTGTGTGAAACAAAAATAGAAAGGGACTGAACATGTTTAGGAAACAGAGTTGCAAGAGGAGAGACCCAGGGAAAACTGAGAATGGTTTTCCAGATCCTTACATACAAAGCTTTTTGTAAGACAAAGTCATAAAATTGTGCTGAATGTGTGGGAGATGATTTAAGATGTGAATAGTTGGGGGTAGTCCTATTTTCCTTGGATTGCCGGAACATTCTTTCCTGTTGTGGCTCAGGTCTCGACACCCTCTTGGTCGGGATGACTACCATGTCTGGGAATGATCACTGTGGAGAGATCGGCTGATGCTAAAGGCAAAGAGGCAGGAAACTCTGTCAAGAAGAGTCCCCCAGTGAAAAGGTGGAGATTCCTTCCATTACAGTTCGATTCTTGGCACTCATGACTCCAAGAGGAAACATTCTCTCTCTCCATATGGTACTTACATGCAGTGGGCTAGTGCTGAGAGCTTATGGCTATAAAACAGGAGTAAGTACTTTGGATATTTTTACAGACTTTCCAATTTGGAGTGTTTGAGGGCTATAAGCCATTGCTGACTGGGTGAGCAGATGTCATAACCACAAAAGAGGGCTAGGCTCTGCAAAATGCAGGGCATTCAATAAAATGTAGAATATGACCAAATAAAAGCTAAACACACTAATATAAATGTAAACTCATGCTTCTTAGTTATGCTCAAAAGGGGGGACATTTTGAAATTCCTCTTGGACAAAAGGCTGGAATGTAAGACATATCCTGGAAAAAGAGGATGTCTGGTCACCCCGATTGCCGACCTCTCAGATAAGTGCCAGACAAATGTTTAAATCAATAGGAATCTGTATGGTGTCAAGTAGGGGTAGATATATTTGATCAAGAAAGTCACAACCCTGCATTCACAAGATATGAGCAAGATCCTTGATAACAAGTTGATCTGGAAGTGTCTTAGTGATAGGACCACTATAAGTCAAAGTCAACTTGATGTCAATTAACAGCAACAAACACAGCATAGACTGAATGCCAAAACAGGCCACTTTCCTGCTTTGACTAATAGCAGCTTCAGAAGGGACTTTGTCAGTATTATGGGACAGAGCATGGAGTTAAACACCGTCAAGGTGGAGTCAACTGCAACCATGTGATCTCCCTTGGGTCCTTTGGAGCCTTCTGGCTGCAAAACAGAACTGGATTCCTCCTAGTCAGCACTGGACCCATGGCCTTCATTGAGTTTGGTCAAGGTCTGACATCCAAATCCTGTGAAATGAGTCATGGTCCTTCTGGGAAGGATGTGTCATGCTCTCTTGGAAGACACATTGGTAGGAAAAAGGTTGCTTGTAGCAGAAGGTAGCAAGTTAGAAGACCACAACTGTTGATGGAACCAATTTTAGCAACCTGCCAATTAACTTATTTTTATTTTTTTGTCTCTATGTGGAGAAGGACACATAAGTACATTTAAAGGGGGGGGG